TTAGAAGATCGAGTACTGGTGGAAGTTGGCCAAAATCGCCAACCATAATAACAGACCTTCCACCGAAGAGTTCATTTCTGTGTTCTGGATAAGCTTGACATAGACGCATATTAACTAATGCAAGTATGTGCTATTCTACTATGCTTTTCTCATTTATAATTACATTGATTATACCTTCTAATCTCTTTTGTAGCTGTTTTAAGCATTCTCTATTTATATCCAAATTACTATTGCCATCATTTATTGCGATCAAAAGGACCGAATAGATCGTTATACCATTAATGTTATATGTTGTAGCACCTGTTAGAGCAAGCACAAGTACTGGTGATCTAGATCCAATTCCTGTCATTTGATGAAGTGTGTATCGAATCACATTAACGAGGTATGATTTACCTGTTTTTGCTGTTTCTAATATTATGATTTTTAGTGGTTCAATATGACAGCCTGTAAGCATATTACAATAATATAATTCAATTCTTTTAAACACTTTTATTTGATTATTATTTAGGGTTTGAGGATTTATAGAACCTGTATTTACATGCATATTCTCATTTGTTTGATGATTTCTGCTAGAAGCTTGACATATAAAAGTGTCAGCATTTGCAAGGTCAGTATCAGAGTAGCATTGCCTAGCATTATCAACCCATCTATGAGTAAGATCTATATTACAAGTTTCTAGATCGCAGGAATCATTTATGACTGTATTTGGGCCTATTTTTGCCAATAACATCCTATCTAATCTTAATTCTTTCTGTTCATCATCATCAGGCTGTCCACTCTGATTATCATTATCATCGTCGTTGGTAGGCTTGCCTTCATCTACATGGGTCCAAGTAAGTCAATTGGGTCATTATTTATCTCTTCATAATAATGGTTATATAAAGTTGACCATTTAATAGTATCGTGTTGGTCAGTTGTTCAATATCTCTATGTGGAATATGTAGAATAACTTTTATATGGCAAAACTCCTCCCATTGAGGACTATTACATAAGGGTGAAGGCTGTGAAAAGATACGTACTATATTTTCATGCTTGCATTTATTTCAGTTATTCTGGGTAAATTTATGAATTAAATTAAGTCGAAATAAAGAGAAATTTTTAAATTCTGTAAGACGTTCCTAATATAATTTTAGAGGTGACTAGACCATGCGTTCTACATCTATGGTTGCAAAATTACTTTAATTCTACATAATTTTGGTAATTTTTACAGTAAGTTTTGGTAAATCAGTTTTCATGTAATTTGTAATTTATCACAATTTGTAGCAAAATTTCAGTGATTGAGGGGTTGCAATGTAAATCATATATTCAAATCAAATGATTCACTAATGCTGGGTGAGCTTTTGTAAAGCCAGTACTTTATATGTAGTGTGATGAAATTACATAAAATTTGATTTACTGAAGCTTGTATAAAATTATATGTATTGTAAGTTTGTAATTTCATAATACAACTCCTACCTGTATAATTCACGCTATCGTACTCTTCATTCTCTCTATTACCAGTACCACGAATCCATCATGGTACTTCTTTGTTAAGATTCAAGAAGACAAATACCTGACTAGAATGGTATAGTGGAATACCTAGAAGAAGATAACAGTTTTTCTGAGCAGAGATATCATGTTCTGCAACACTATGTAATAGTAATTTTTGAATAAAAGAAAGTAATAGATTTTCTAAATTGCTTTTTTGAAGGATTTGGTTTAGTATTTCAAAAAAAGTTGCTAATTGCGGTTCTGCTTTGCTTGTATACTTTGAAATGTATTGTAAAGCGGCATGGGTGCTAAGAATTGGTTTGATATCTACATTTGCTCTCTAGCCTTGTAGTTGAAGTCGATTGTGTGGATTGATTAATGGGTCATTTCTTGCCATAATAACCTCTGGCCTACCATGTCCATCATTGCACAATATAGTATGATCAATAGTATCCTTAGAATATCCAAATCTACAGGACTATTGTCTTAACCGATTAACGCGAAGGCAGTATGAGGGACTATAGTGTGTGTGTCATTGTAGCTTGTTAACCAATTCTATATAATATTGAAGATTATCCTTCAGTTCTTTACTACTTTTTTGACATAGATGTCATTCTGGAACTAGTGCATTAAGTTCAGGATTAATTGTGAAAACTAAAGTATTAATATATTGTACCACTTCATTCATCGCTTTTTCATCACCTTTTATCTGTGTCCAATTGACTACAGGCGCATTTCGTTATTTTCCAATTCTATACACGTAAACACTACCATGATGCTGCTATTTAAATCGATACCACCAATCTTCAAGATCCCATTGCTGCTTTAATATATCATTAAAAAAGGTCTCAAAGCGCTTGCAGAAGAACCAGGCTGCAATATGTGGATTATCAATTATATTTTGCCATCATGTAGATTTAGTTACTTAGACAGAGTTTTTGCTAAATATAATAAGTTCATGGAGCTCTGGCCAATGAAAGTCGGCAGCACTAAATGAAAAAACACGAGCCCTCTTGAACCTATTTGTTTAATCATATCTGACAATTCATGATATTGTCTTATTCAAAATTGCTAGGATCCATGCAAACCTTCACCATATTATATAATGCAGTCAGCAATATATTTATCACCTTGAGCAATCATATGGGGTGGAGTCAATAGAAATGGGACAAATTTATTAGATAAATTTGTCCCATTCCTATTGACTTCACCTTATGTCTTGAATATCTTTAACTATAAGTTGCTCATCACTAAATTTTTGCTTAACATACACTTTTCCCTCTTGCAGTACCTGCTATTACATTATAGAATTCAATGCAAAATATCTCCAATGCATATGCCATGCAAATCCTCCATCTTTGTACTGAAGTAAATGCTTGAAATATTTTGCTAAATTGATATCTCTAATGTGTTCTAACTGAAGATCGGACGATCCTGTCAGGTAAAGAGATGAGAAAGCACATGCAATATAACCCAGTATTCTAAATTTGTTAATAGGTGTATTTTCTATATTTGGCCATGGTAAAGGATTGCTCTCACTTTGCATGCAGTTAAGAGTTTCTTTAATGGCAGTATCTTCTCTATGAACTGGTGGAAGAGACAGAACAAATGTACGTGTAATTATATCATCCTCAACTTCTTCATTATCTGATTCTTCAGCTACTATTTTATTATTTGTGAGCTGATCATCAACGTAACTATTTGCAGGTAAGGACTGAAGAACACCTTCATCAATTGTAATTTTATTATAATACCAATTATTTTCTCTTAACTACATTAATGCACAAGCAACCTTCTCATGATAGACTAGAAAATCTCTAAAGAATTCTAATCTTGCTGACTGGCGGTGTACAACTAACACATCCAATGATGAGGGACTTCGGGAAAGATAAGTAGTGAATTCATGTACATCTTACGAAAAGTTTATTACGTTTCCACAATACCCATATTGCCCACCATGAAGTTTATAGACCAATATTATTGGGAAAACTTGCACAATTAACATTTCTTCTATCTCTGTAAGTCCTTGCAATTCTTCAGGTACTTCACCAGGGTTCATGTCATTTTCTTTAGAAAACTTTTTTGGTAAGGTCTTTTCACTATAACAATAACGACACTCCCTTATAGCAAGAACTATTAATGGAAAGCTTTCATTATATATGGGCAAAGAGTATATTTGATCTTATCTATTTTAGTCTGAAATTTATATAGAAGAGCTCGATCGAGTTCACTAAGATCAGTGGCAGAAAGTAGTTTAACAGGTGTAGTTGTACTAATTTGTATCTCCTAAATATTGGCATGTTGTATTTCTTGCTCATTATTAGTTAATCAACTCTCTTGTCTTATTTGTTTACTACTATTATTCATACCACTATTAACACTATTTATAATATCATTCACATCATTCACATCATTCACACTATCAATTACAATATTCACACTATTCATACCATTATTCATATCATTCATATCATTATTTATATTATCGTTAATACCATCATTCGTATCATCATTCACTCCATTTACACCATCAATCATAACATTCATATCATTTACTTGATCATTCGCACCATTCATACCATTATTCATATCATTCTCACCATCATTTTCACTATCATTCACATCATCATTCTTACCACTTTCAGTTACTTGTTTTTAATGTTTTTGGTAATGATTGTGAATGCTTGTGAGATGTGTTTCTTGTTCCTCGGGCATTTCTACAGCTCTTTTTTCACACTTTCTTTCATGATCTCAAAGTCATCATACTTCGCATTGCTCAGATGTTTCATTTTTTCTTTTTTCACATTTTCTTTAAGTGTCGTG